TATAACTTATAATACAGGTAGTCCTCAATTTATGACCATTCATTTAGTGACTAAAGTTACAACAGTGCTGAAAAAAGTGATTTATGACCGTTTTTCACACTTATGACCTTTGCAGCATCTCCATGGTCATGTGATCAAAATTCAGGTGCTTGGCAACTGGTTTGTATTTATTGACCATCCTGCAGTCATGGGATCCCAATTTCTAACTTTCTCAGCCAGCTTTCAACCAGAAAAGTTAATGGGGGGTGGGGAAACAGATTTGTTTAACAACTGCATGCTACACTTAACAACTGCAGTGATTAGCTTAACAACTGTGGCAAAAAAAGCTCATAAAACGGGGTGCAATTCACTTAGCAAGGCCTTGCTTAGCAACAGAAATTATGGGCTCAAATGTGGTCCTTAGCTGGAGGAAACTGGAAGTGTTGAGGCAAGACTGGCTGGAAATTTGCAGGCTCCGATGAACCCGGTGAAAATCCAGCCAGACAAACCGCTGTCAGAGGGTCTTTGGATCAGAACCAGCTTGTAGAGATGGTGAAGAAGGAGAGGCACCTCGGACAACCAAGAGGAATAGGCAAGTTCCTCCTAAGGTCAGAGGCAGCTCTCCGATCCGGCCGCGGGGGCAGCAGCCATTAAAAACAACCGCTTTGAAGTTGGGGCAACCGGAATAAGATTTTGTGCAGAAGCAGTGTTTGGACGGAGTACTGGTACCAGGTGAGTGATTGGCCAACTCACAGGTAAAAAAGGAAATTTTTAAAGAAAACCTCTAAAAGATCACAGTGAGGAAATGAGCAGCTAATTGGCACTTGGGAATTTTAATGGAGGGAGAAGAACAAAGAGGAAGTTAAAGTACTAAAGCCCAGAAAAGAAAACTTTTATATTTGGATTTTAAATTGAATTTGGAGAAACTAAAACTAATATAAGAAAAGAAACCCGAGGGAAAGTACTTTTTAATGAAGATTTGAAAGAATTTTGACAGTTTTGAAATATGAAGGAAAAACAAAGGACAAAGAGGTCAGAAACTTTGTTAGAGCACATAAAACAGGAAAAAGAGAATATAAATGAGAAACAAGAGACTAACATTGAAGGAAAAAGAATTGAAGGAAAAAAGATGATTACACTGGGATTTACAGTGGCAAAAAAAGAATGGATAGGGGGGAATATTTTCTTTTAAAAAGGCAATCTAAGGGAAGAGAAGGAAATGGGAAAAGATTAGGTAACAGAGGGGGGCGAATTATGCAAGTGATGGACTCAAAAGTAAGAGAAAGGATTCAGGAGAAAAGATACAATAAATATGAGAAGAAAAAGAGGAAGAGGAAGAGGAAGAGGAAGAGGAAGAGGAAGAGGAAGAGAGAAGAAAGAAGAAGAAGAAGAAGAAGAAGAAGAAGAAGAAGAAGAAGAAGAAAAGAAGAAAATGGGATGAAAAGAGAAAATAATTAAGAAGTGGAATTTTGGAGAGACCAGGAGAAAATGGTTAAAAAGGGAAGAATAATGGAAAGGAGGAAGGGAAATAAGGTATATATTAGTAGATCTAAAGGAACTGTATTAATATTAGCAATTGTGAATGCAAAAATTAAATATGATTATGTATATTGTGTATTGTAAAATGGAAGAGCAGATGAAATATGAAGTAATTAGGTTTAATTATGAAAATAATTGAAATTAAGATACAAAAAAATGGATGGGAATTTTGAAATAATATGTTGTAAATAATGAAACAAAATAATTAATTGATGCTATAATAGAAGTCAGGAATTAAGGGCGGATAGTGATATTGCTTATTATGTATTAAGAAGAGATAAGATGTGGAAGATCAATCAAGTTAAAGGGTTTCAATGTAAGAATTGAATAAGATGAAGTTTATTGTTTATAACCAAAAAATGTGATGGGGATTATAAGAAATATACTTTATAAATGGAGAAATAATTAATTGAAGCAATGCTAAGAAATTAGGATTTGAAGGGCGGATGGTGATACTGTTTATATAATATGTATTAAGAAGAGATTAAGATAAGATAAAAAAGTAGAGAAAAAGAATATCATGGCAGAAAATGAAATACGTAAATTGTATTTGGAAAAATCAAAAAAGAAGATTCGAATAGATCATTAAAATCAACATATAATTATGTTATAAGTTGTAAAAGATGTGACCCAGTCAATACTCTGTTCATAAAATATGTATGTAAAAGGAAAATTTAATAAAACTTGTCTTTAAAAAAAAATGTGGTCCTTAATCGAGGACTACCTGTAGTGCAATGGCAAATTCCACCTTCTGATTTGCTTTTGTTTTTTTAAACCCACTGCCAACAAACATGCGCATCTGCATACTTCTTCAATTTAAAAATATATTGTGTATTTAGCGCCATGGTGATGTACATCCACTTTTGACAAAAAAAAAAAAGAACAAGAAGTAATTTCCTGCCAATGAGTTTCTCTCTACTAACGTTCAACTCTTCAGAATTAACACTTGGTTTACCCTGATTGCAACAGTGAAGGGATATATTTTGCTTCTTCAATTTGCCTTCTTTTAGCAGCTTTATGCTCCTTCCAGATACACACATGTTCCTCCAGCCACCCACTCCATTCCAACAAATTTTGTAGTCATACCCGTCAAATAAGAGTTATAGCTCATAAAACTGAAATATATTCCCATTTATGTGGAAGTGCACAGCAGCTATAACCATCCCAAAGAATCATTACCACAGCTGCCAGGGGAAGGGGGGGGATATTGAAAGAAAATAGAAAGACAAATTTGAAAATGTGTCATATGCCTCACCAACTAAATATTGATACAGAATTTTGATAATACTTATGCAAATTGGACTGACAGATCTTGGCTGCAAAACCTCAGACTACCACTAGGGGAACAGTATTGATAGGTCTCTTTGCTGCCATCAGAAGGTTATCCAGAATTTTGCAGCTCAGATCTGCTACTCCTAATCTTAAAAAAGTGGAGGGGGGAGCAGGGGAGAGATCCCTTATGACTCCAGAAGTCTCAAAAATGGTTGAGCATTAGCACCAGATTTATAATTTGCTTGTTAGTGTAGTAGATAAAAATGAACCCAGAAGACGATTTAAACCTCTGATGGAGAAGGAAATGATGTTTCCTTAAGCCACATTTAGAAAATTCATGCCCGTAAAAATACCCTCTTCCACAAAAGGGCATTTTGTCCTCTTCAAATCTGCCAACATGGGAATAAATGCAGAACAAGAAGCAAAAATTGCTATTCCACCAATTTTATTGAAAAATCCCTACACAGGAGAATGAAAAATGTTTGCTCATACTGAGCTCCTATCTATAACCTTACTTCATATACAAAAAGTCTATACACAAAAATCCCCATGGTCCTTATGGAAAGGAGCTGCAAAGCTGGCCAGCTATCTTTCCTTCTCAAAGATCTGGAGTTGGAAAAAATGGACAGGCAGGAATTCCTCCTAATTATTGGTAGTCCCCCATTGATGGCAAGAACAGAGGGCCAAGAATGGAGATGTTTTTCTATCGTGACCCATATATCTATATATCTATAGATTTATTTAACAGATGATTGTAGCCCAGTGTTTTTCATTTTGACAACTTTAAGATGAGGGCACTTCAATTCCCAGAATTTTTCAGCCAGCCTGACTGGGGAATTTGGGGAGCTGAAGCCCATTTATCTAAAAATGTTTGAAAAACACTGCTGTAGAGAAAGAAGATATCAAATGGAAGGAGGCTTATCATTATCAAGTTAAAAAGAGTCTTCAAAGTAGTTTTTTCTATAATACTGTGGGAACCATAATAGAATAAGAGTTGGAAAGGACCTTGGAGGTCATCTAGTCCAACCCTCTACTCAAGCAGGAAACTCTATACCAGTGATCGCTAACCTTTTTGCCGTCACATGCCAAAAGCGGGGGGAGAGTGGGGAGATCGTGCATGTGCGTGCCCACACCCATAATTCAATGCCCATCCATGCCCCACCCTCCCGCGCACATGCGCGTCCTCCCCCGTTTGGCACACGATGGCACAGTGGGCCCATTTTTCACTCTCCCCAGGCTCCAGAGGCTTTCTAGGAGCCTGGGGAGGGCAAAAACGGCCTTCCTCAACACACACACCCCGAGGCCCTCTGGAGGCCAGAAACAACCCACTTCCCAACTTCTGGTGGGCCCAGAAGGCCCGAAAAGCTGGCCGGCGGGCACATGGGTGCTGGAGCTGACCTAGGGCAATGCTCATGTGCCCTCAGATATGGCTCCGGATGCCACTTGTGGCACCCATGCCATAGGTCCGCCATCACAGCTCTATACGATTGGCGCCCAATCTCTTCTTACAAACCTCCAGTAACTGGAGGCAAGTTATTCCAGTTTGTTCTGTTAGGAAACTATTCTTTAGTTCTAGGTTAGTTCTCTCCTTGATTAGTTTCCATCCATGGCTTCTGCCTTCAGGTGCTTTGGACAATAGGTTGACTCCCTCTTCTTTGCAGCAACATGTTAAATATTGGAACGCTGCTATCATGTCATGCCTAGTCCTTCTTTTCCTTAGACTAGACATACCCAATTCCAGCAACTGTTCTTCATATTTTTAGCCTCCAGTCCCGTTTATGTGCTCCTGTTTTAAGATGATTATGAATATTTTTATTATATTATTGTTGATGTTTTATTTTTGATAAATCATGTAGCTGTGTGGTGGTCTAAGAATCTAACAAATAAATATATAAATGAGCTGTCTAAGTTCTGTAAGCTTGGTATTTCAAAAATAAACTGAAAAGTTAGCGAAAGAGATGAAAAGACTACTTTTATTGAAGTTTTAAACAGCTAAGCCAAAAATAAATCAGCTCAGCTCTCTCTAATAACAATTCAATATTGGAGGATCATAGAAAGTTGCAGTTGCTATCAAACTGGTGTAAAAATCCATTTTTTGAAGTGCCCCTTAAGTCAGAAAAAAAAAAGCCTATTTCTATTGTAGCTATTCAACCTCTTGGTGTCCAAAAGGTGTCCTTTTGTTTGGATAGAAATAGGATTAACACACTCGATTGTAACATTGCTCCTTTATTTTTTATACATACATGGATTTGCATATTTCAAAAAATAATAAACACATTGTAGATGAAGTTGCGGATAATTGAGACAAGAAGGAAGCTAACATTTCTACCTACGCTGTATGTTGTTACAAGTATTTTTATTTTAAAACAGAATGGTAAATGCAGTAGAAACACATACAAATAACTTCTATTGCTGACCTAATTGGAAAAGACTGATGTTTTCTGAAATACGAAGTTGAAAAGCAATATTATCTAATACCAAGTGCTTGGAATATTAAATTTTTTTTTTACTAGATTAGCAACCATAAAGAAGCCAGAAGTTATATATTTAATACTTTGCAAAGCATGTATTTTTCTACTATGCTTTTTTTATTTAAAAAACAGAGGATGTCTTTATAGACACTTTAAAAAAACATCAAAATGTAAAGAAAATGTAAAGAAAAACAATTTACGCTATCTTTCTGTAAAACAATCTATTTGTTAAGAAACTTGAAAGCAAGGATTTTTAACCCTTACTTAAATGTTGCTCCACTGCAGTTGTTATTTTTCAGCCTGGTGCAATCACAAATAAGTGGCTTTCCATTTCCCCAAATCATAGTGTTCCTTGTAACCTGTTGACTTTTGAAGAAAAAAAAAAGAGAGAGAGAGAGAACTGCCTTTTTAAAGTAAAGTTACTGCAAGCCTCAACAGGTCCTGCATAAATCATTTTGCAGGACACAGCTGGATTTCTATTGCAGGTTTACAGGCAGACATGAATCCATTACTGTACAGTTAATTTCTCCCCGAGCAACCATGGAGAATAAACCCTCCACGATGGTGCAAAGCAAACCACCCATCTAGAGCTGCTTCTGTGCAGTCCCCCTTCATCCCAATGGAAAATGCAAGCAGCCAATGGCTCTACTGTAAACATCTACCCTCCCCCCACCCCAAATACATATTCATAATGGAAAACAGCAAGTATATTTGGCAAGGGCAAAGGGGTTTCTTTGCATGAGGACAGAAAGAGGAACCCAATATTTTTAAGGCACTGAAATGGAGGAATATTTTTTTTAAGGCCAAATAAAATATGTACATCAAGAATGCTCTAAATTCTTCTTCTCTGCTAAGCAAAGTTCCTGTTTTAGCTGCATACGTTTCCTCTGAATCTGACTGGCTGGTGGTGGTTGTCGTGAAGTTAGCGGTCTGGATAGAGGGTAGCCAGGGTGAGAAAGACAGAGAATAGGAAACCTAACTGCAAGCTTAGTAATTTAAGGAAAATGTTAGGAAATGGATTTTTATGAGAATACAGGTAGTCATCGATTTACGACCACAATCGAGCCCTAAATTTCTACTGCTAAATGAGGGATTTGTTAAGTGAGCTATGCCTCAGTTTACACTTTTCTTGCCAAAGTTGTTAAGTGAATGACTTAACACTAAGCAGTGTTAAGTTAATAACAAGTTTATTAAGGGAATCTGGCTTCCCCCTTCACTTTGCTTGTCAAAAGCTGATCACCTGATCCTGGGACACTGCAGCCGTCATAAATGTGAATCAGTTGCCAAGCATCTGAATTTTGATCACATGATCATGGGGATGCTGCAATGGTTAAGTATGAAAAATGGTCGTAAGTCACTTTTTTCAGGGCCATTGTAACTTTGTACAGTCACTAAATGAATTGTTGTAAGTCGAGGACAACCTGCATCCTGGAGTCTCCCCATCAAGTATAGTGTGTGCCCTCTCTCTCTCTGCTTTTTTCCCCCTCGACTGGCACCAAGCAACACCACCTTTAATAGCCCTAAGCCTCCTCATGCCTCGGAATATGAACGAACTAAACTGGCGAAGACACATGCGTGGGAATAGCCAAAGATGATTAGGCAGAAGAATTTGTGAGCCATCCCAAGCTCTGCATGCAACAAATGATCATTTGGCTATTATGTGCAATAGGCTCAGGATGGAGAGAGAGGAAAAGAATTATTGTGTGGCAAGCACAGAGCATAAATCTAGGCTAAGAACAAGGTAACTGAGAAGGCAGGAGAGAAACAGAATGAATTAGTCTGAGACTGCAGGCAGAGGAGAGAGACAGAAGAAAGGAAAAATCAGAACAAAAGAGAGAAAAGCATGACCCCTTCTTCTCTTTCCACTTCCCTTCTTTTGTACACTGCTGCCTTGATTCTCCTTACTGCCAGCCTCTGTCTACCCCTGGATGAAAATCAACCGTGCAGAATACACCAGATCCGCCAGGTACATCAGCAGATTGATAGCTGTTAGAACAGCTACGGCAACATTCTTGTCCCATACACAGAATTCGCTACCTCTACAGAGTGAGCTTCGAGATGGATATCCCCCATGTTTCTGGTCAAACTTGTAGAGAGGCCAAATAATTGTGGCGGTGGCATACATGAGCACAGCCAATAAAGTGTAGCCGCTGAGGAATTTGTTGAATGGACACGGCAACCAGCCAGTGCATTCGCCAATGCAGAGGATAATCACCACAAGTGAGAGGATGAAACAGATGCAGTAGACCGCCATACACCACTTAAGAGCATCTGGCTGGTCATAAGTAGGTGGGTCACTTATGAAGACAAAGATGATGCAGGCAGTAAAGGTCTCCACTACCTTTAGCAACCCTGGGACTGTTGCCATATAGCCGGTCACTTCTCCTGGCTTAGCTTTGGTTAAGCTGACCTCGGTGAGGTAAGACAGGCAGGCAAGGCAAGAAAACACGGTGGCAGAAATGCGGTATCCCCGCTCGTCACGACTAAGACGCTGATTCGAAATGAAGAATACCGGGTAGATGATGGAAGCAGAGAGACACATTAGGGTGGCATACATGGCGAAAGTGATGGGGAAGTTCTTCCAAGAGACCGGCATGCGATGCTGAAGGCCGACAAACTCGACCACCAAGATGACAATGGTGATGGCAAAACAGACGCACCAGGAAAACATGCACCAGTCTCCATTGCGGCCAGACCAGGCCTCCCGGTTGGCCACCAAGCTGAAGGCCACACAGGTGAAAAGGGCTTCCAGGAGGCGAACAATTCCCAAGGGAGAGGTCAGGGCACTGGTGTTGCCCACTGATTTTGAGCGGGTTACTGGCATTGTGCAAAGATCTAGGAAGGAGAAGAAAAGACACATCATGCAAAAATTTATCACATGAAAATACACAATTTAGAATACATTTCCTGAATTTAGGGCTAAGGAATATAGGAACAGTGGGCAGATGCAGGAGACCAGGCTGAGCCCAAGGGAAGGGTCAAATGCGTCATAAGTCATGAGTCCCTGCATGCCCACACGAGATCAAAGTCCAGCCTATTGTGAATGCCTCACTTATCACCCGCTCATTTCCCTTAACTGCCAGTGGGTCAGATTCTTGTAGAAAGCTTAATCTTGCAATAAATATTTATACACATTTGTACTGCCTGACTCTCATTTTCCCCAACCTTCTGCAACCCTGCAGCTTCTATATAGGTTGGATTTCCCATCTTATCATTCCCAACCAGAATTCCATTCTTCTCTTCCTAGTAATAATCCAAAATAACTGCTGGACTACAAATTGAGGAAGACTAATTTAAGTACTATTGCCTCCTGAACCTGCCTGAATATTGTAGAAGTCAGAGAAGGGATGGGAGAGATTTATCACTCCAGGTATTGTTGGACAAGATCTGATAGCAGTCCCAGTCAGGATGGGTTATAGTCCTTGGCTTACGACCATAATTGAGCCCGGAATTATGATCACAAGTTGTGCTGGTTGTTAAGTGGGTCAGCATGTGACCACACCCAATTTTATAGACCGGTTTTGCAGCAATCATTAAGGGAATGCCATTGTAGTTAGGCAAATCCATTGTCCACAATGGACTTTTTTTTTTTTTTTGCCGAAACTGGAAGTAACAACCACTTTCTGGCAAAAAAAAAATAAATATCTAAGTCCTGGTCACATAATCATGGGATGTTGCAAACACAACCAAAATGTGATTATGTGATGGGCGGAGGCCATCAAAACTTTGAATCTGGGTCACAAGTAGACCTGAGAAGTCCGTTGTATCTTAGTCGCTAAGTGAATGGTCATAAGTTGAGAACTATCTACATATCCTGTTTCCCCCAAAATAAGACATTCCCTGATAATAAGCCCAATCGGACTTTTAAGTGCATGGCAATAAGGCCAAGTGCTTATTTCAGGATTCAAAAAAATATAAGACAGGGTCTTATTTTTGGGGAAACATGGTATGAATTCTAGTTCCATGCCTGGGGAATTATAGAATCATAGGGCTGGAAGGGGCTTTTAAGCTTTTCTAATCCAAACCCTTGCCCACAGCACACCTTATTATATCCCAGAAAAATGGCTGTCCATTTTTTTCTTGAAGACTTCCAACAATGGACCATCCACAATTCCAGAAGTTCCATCCACTGATTGTTGTCACTGCCAGGAAATTTTTCCTTAATTCCAGATAGGATCTCTCTAATGAGCTTCTACCCACTACTTCCTGTACAGCCCTCAGGTGCTTTGGAGAATAAGTCAACCCCCCCCCCCCTTCATGTGATTGCCTCCCAGATATCAGAAGACAGCTCAGCTATCATGTTACCCCCTAAACTTTCTTTTTCTTAGGTTAGACATACCTAGTTCCCTTAACCTTTCCTCACAGTTTAGCCTTCAGGGCCGGGATGGGCAACTTTAGGACTTGTGGACTTCAACTCCCAGAATTCCTTAGTCAGACATTAAAATACACAGATTATAAAGTTGCCATACTGGCCCACCCCTGCGCCAGAGACTCAGAAAGCTCACAAGCCAGATGTCTACAGGTAATCTATCAATATTTCCCTATGGGCAATATGGACGTCCTAACCCACAATAGCAACTGTTGGACATCAAAATCTACAAGGGGGAAAAAGAGGTAGTTCAACTAAACATAGACAATTTAATTTTTATCAGTCTATTCCAAGGTTTATAATTCATTTATGTTACTTATTTATGTATGCTATTCCTATGGGGTTGGATTCATAACTAGAGTTCTCCAGATGTAGCTCTTATTATCTTGATTTACAATACTTTTTTTCAGATTTGGCATAGCTAGCTCAACAAATGCAGTTAAAGTAAACGTTCTCAACAACAAAATGTTCTCAATAGAAGATAGAATCTAGAATTGTCCCAATATTTTATTGAGGTAACTAAAGAGTTACACTTACAAAAAAGGGAAACTTGTAACTCCTTTGACAAACTTCAGTTAACTTAAACATTGCCCCAGCCTGACAGGTGACACTTGGGCGAAAATTGATTAAGCTCACCTCTTTGTAGAGAAATGGAATTTCCTCAAGATAAGGGAACTCTTTTATGTCAATGCTCCACTTTTGATGCCAGACAATTCCATTTCATGAAAATCCACACTGCACCTAGGAAAGGATCTGGACATCTAAGATCACCCACCCCAAAGGGGTCTTCCTTGGGTCTCACATCCATAGGGCAAGGGCATCTTATTTTTACACATCTAATACGATTCACATCAACTTCACACCAGAGCCCCTTGTCACTATATGTCCTATCACTCTCAGGTTTCCGTGGCCAAGAATGGCCGAATCTTCGTTTTGCTGTCTGGCTCTTGCAAGAAAATCCTTCCTCTATTTCGAGCAATCGTTCTGCATTTTTCATTGGGTAACTGAGCTTGGAATCAGGCCAAGAAAATTCTTCTAATGGGTTTAAAATAGGTACAAACTAGTAACAGAAGTAAAGCGGTTTCCTTTTGTAAATGGAGATAAATCTTCCTGGCTTATGCAGCACATATTATGAACTGGCTATGAATAATAGAAACTGAAGTCTGAAAGATCCAGGGGTTGGAAAAGGCTGAGTGACATATTGTCCACCCAAAGCTAATATAGCCCTTTCCTGTCCGGGTTATGGCAAAGTAAGACGCAATGGGAGAACGGACAAGAATTTCTGGGGACTAAAAAGTTACCCCCATCTGTCCATCTCTCACAATTACAGCACAGATAATAGGAATTGCTATTTTTTTCCAAGCCAAAATTGGAAAACGCTTACTTCCTGAAGAAGTTGAAGGGCAAGACAAGCAACAAGAACTGAGAAAGGGTGGAGACTTGAGGAGGGGAGGGGTAGGAGAAAAACCATGTTATCCATGTAAGGGCAGGAGAGAAAATTCCTTTTTGTCCAATGTTGGACATTTGGTTTTAATCAAGCTCTTCTTCTGAGCTGAGGAAGTGGGCAGGGGGCGGGCGGGAGTCAAAGAAATCCCAGGCGTTAAATCCAGCTTCACTGTCTCTTTCTGAGCCATCTCCCAAAAATGCAGCCCCCACCCTTCCTTTTCCCTCCTGCAAATCCCGAAGCAAGGATTTCCTTTCCCGTCAGCTCCCAAGTCAGAAATGTCTCCTAGCAGCTCCTTTCACTCGGCTGGCAGGGAATGCCAAAATGTTTTGGTAGGGTAGCCGTGTTTGGAGAGAAGAAAAGGAAAAAAAGGGGGAAAAAGAGAGAGAGGGAGAGAAAGAAAGTTTGAAAGTAAAGGTAAACTGCTTCAAGAAAAGGAGAGCAGAAAGCTCACTTTAAACCATTTTAAAATGGGCTTTAAAAATTTAATGGCTTATATTGCCTGTTAGCACTCACTATATGGAAACTGCAACTGTAGAGGGTATTTTGCAAGACGTTGCAAGATTTAGTTTTCACTAAAATGTTGTCCTATGTTACCCAGGCCATGCTGGTTCTTTGGGGCCTACAAGGGGGAAATGGATGACTGAACAGCCTATTTTGCAAAGCTGTCCTCCCAGACTAACCTTCAGCTGCCGTTTTGCACACAGTCAAATCAAGAGGAAGAAACTGTTAGACAATGTCATTTTTTCAGGTAGCAGAAAAACAATTGCCTGTACGAATCCTGCTATCTTTCCCCTATCTTTGCACTGAGAAAATGAGCATTTCAGAGAGTACAATTTATCAATGTTCTTCAACGGGCTGTTTCTAACTATACAAAGAGCTTTCTTGATGAGATAATTTCAGACTTGTAACCTTTGATCTGCAGCCTGAAATGGAACAATCTAGATAAATAGATTGTTTCCCATTTGACTGCTGTGCATTTGAGTTGATTCATAACCTTAACGTTTTTTCCAAGCACACTAACCAATACCAAGGGTAAAATTTTATATAAATCCCTCTCTCCATTCCTCTCATGTAAGATGCTTTAAAAATTACTATTTGTATCCGACCCTTCTTATGCTGGTGTATGACTGTAATAAATATTTAATTTGATTTGATGCTGAAGATAGGGAAAAAAACATAAAATTCTACATGCAATTTAACCATATTCGTTCTCTCACCCTGCAAAGTACATTCAAAAATGTACATACATTTGATGAAGGAACCTGCAAAAGTCAAGTTCATCAGTGACTTTAAGGCTGTCTCAGAACATTATAACAGGAAGCAGAATTTAAAGGAAAATATAAGCATTATCTAAACAATAATGGATAAACAACTACTGTAATCAAGGAACATCTTCACATAATCTTATAAACAGTCTGGGTAAAAGAGAGCAAAAGAGAGACTGAAATTTGCATTTATCAGAAGTAATGCTGAGAGTTACTGAGAAAATATTCAGTCATCGTGCATTGGTGCAAAAAACCTTGAGCGAAGAGGTGGCAACGCCCAGGGTGTAGAACTATTTCTTACACACTGCAGGATACAATTGAAGCTTTGTTTTAAGCACAGAAAAGTCAAGAGGCAGGATCTTAGAAGAGCTGGTTCCTGTTCCCTAAAAAACCTCAGAACTGTGCCCACAAAAGCAGAAGACATGGAAAAGAACAGAAGTCACTGAATAAAATTAGACTTGAGGTAATGCTACGTGTCATGGCAAGGCATCGAATGAGTAAAGGTGATTCAAAGAACAGGTAACCTTCTGCTTACCACCTTAATTGAGCCCAGAACTACAGTAGTAAGACATGGCGTTCATTGGCGGGTCACCATGTGACCACACCCGATTTTACTAACTTTTTTGCAGCAATCCTTAAACAGACGTTGTTAAGTGAACAGAATAGTCTACTCATTATATCCAATAAATGCTGGTTTCCAGCAAAAAAATGCCAAAAATTGCAGAACACTGCAGACAGACATAGATGCCACTGGTTGTCATGTACCCAAAATGTGATCAACTGATCACACGGTGGGGTGGATTGTTGCTGTTATAACTTTGAAAATGGGTCATAACCTGGGGAGCTCTGTCATAATTATGAATGATTGCTAAGTGACCAGTCATAAATCAAGAACTACCTGTATTTAAAAACTAGGGAATCCTCGAATCTTGCATCTCTCTAGATCAGTGTTTCTCAAACTTATCCAGATATGTGCTGTCAAATTCTGGGAGTTCACACATCTTAAAATTCTTTAAATTGTTTTAGATAATACCAAGGGGTCACTCCTTATTTTACATGAACTGTTGCTTCATAAACTACAGAATATATTTTACAAATAAATACATATTAATAGATTTCAGTTGTAATAGCCAAGAAATAGCCTGATTGATTTAATATTATTTATTGCCAAAGCCCAGGGGATCTCTTAATCCATCCTTAAAGAAACAGGATTTCTCGCTTTTCAAAGCATGGCATTAGATTTTTTAAAGGGTATTTTCTGTACATATGGCTGCATGAGGAGAATTAATGTTTTGGAAAATCTGTTGCAAAATCTATTAGTTTTGCACCATGGAATGGAACAGAAATCCATTGTTGCTCATGCATGTTTGTGTCCTCAACTTAAGACCACAACTGGGATCAGAATTTCAGTTGCTGGGCAAGGAAGCTGTTAAGTGAGAGAATTATACCCGATTTTACCTTTTTTGCCATGATTGTTAAATTAATTACTTTGCTACTCAGAAACCAGCTGGGACGGTCACAAATGGCAATGACATGACTTCAAAATGCTGCAATCGTTGAAAATATATGCCGGTTACCAAGCACCCCAATTTTGATCATGTGACTGTGGAGATGCTGCAATAATGCACAGCGATGTTGTAAGTGCAAGAACTAGTTGTCAGTCTCTTTTTTAATGTCGTCGTAATTTTGAATGGTTGCTAAACAAATGGTTTTAAGTCAAGGACTACCTGTAGTGGTTAAGGCACCTGGCAAGAGACCAGGAGACTGTGAGTTTTAGTTCCCCCCCTTAGGAATGAAAGTTGGTTGGTTGACTTTCTCTCTCAGCCCCACTTACCTCACAAGGTTGTTGTTAGGAGAAGGAAGGAGTATCATGTATATTCGCCATCTTGAGTTATTTATAAAAAAAATAAAGCTAGGACTTTTTTAAAAATATTTTTTTTAAAAAAAGCACTATCATGATCTAGTGCAAGCTTTTTCAAACTGTTTTCTGCCAGACTCAAGATTCTGTGAGAACTTGATGGAGCTCCAGAAGAAATTAAAGAGGAAAAAAAGTTCACTCAATCACAATCTATGCCACAAAAGCTTTGACCTCTTGATTGAAGGGTTCCAGGGAAAAAAAAATCTTAACAAACAGGTTCCACAGCCTGGAAATCTTTGAAACTTTCTGCCTTACTGGATAACAGAAAGGTTACCAAACTGGGCTGCAAAACTCTGAAAAACCAATAGATGGCAGCAAAGAAATCTAGAAAATGTAACTATTGGCTGCTATCTAATGGTCCTTAGGATTTTTGCAGTCTAGATCTAACAGCATTAGTCCTATAGTAATCATACTGCAACAAGCAGGGAAGCTGTTATGAATTTTAAAAATAATAAATTCTTATGCAGTTGAAAGTGTTGCTATATTATAAACAACTAACCGCAGCATAGAGCAGGGAGGAAAAATATTTACAACACAGATTTTTGTTTTCTGGAATCTTGTCATAATATTACAAAAAATAGGATAAGGATAATTAAGACAAAAATAAACATAGTGGTTCCTACTATCAAGTATCTAGTGAACTGGGAACATTCACAATGAAGTACATGACATAAACTTATGGATGTCAGCAATCTCACACAGATACATTCCCTTAGTAAAATACTCTTCAGAAAAATGTATTCAACAATACAGTATGTCTCTGTGTTGCTGATACAAATATTTACTATTTGACTCCATCGTGTCCCATCTACTGCACAATTATCCTTTGCTCTCATTAAATACTGTCTAGATTGTGCTTTGAATTGTAAAATGCAGAGCACCCAGACAGCATTAGATGCAGCTTCAGTCTTTATGTGGGCCACACCTAGTATCTATTTATTACAACATCCTTACCTCACCAGACTAGCTTTAGGAAATATTGATCTTTTGTCCTGAGAAAATATTGCAGTACAGTATTAATAGAGAGAGAGAAACATCTCCCTTAATTAAAACTTTTGTGAGACCAAAATAGCTGGCAAAATGAAGAAGCTGCACTCTTGGGACAGAGGAGAGGGACGGAGGAGGACACACACCTTATGTCTGTTCAGACAAAGGCCTTTTTAAAGGCACCCGTTATTTTCATCTACTGGCCGACCATAAGAGTGCATATTTTTTTTCCTGTTATTGGCAGTTATTTCAAGGTATACTGTCTTTAAATATGAAGGACCTATTTAGCTAATGCACTGAACAAAAGTTTTCACAGACTTAAGTCTGTAAAACTGCAAATTATGTAATAAAGCTGAAGTGGCACAATTTGAGATTTCAAAATCTTTCCAGAGTTTGCTTTATGGAGAAGTCAGCCCTGGGATATCTTGAAGTCTTCACTACTTCTCTTTTCTTATAAACCAGGGGTGTCCAACCTTGGCAACTTCCAAGACTTGTGGACACCAACTCCCAGAATTCCCCTGGGATTAAAGTTGCCAAGGTCGGATACCCCTGCTATAAAGTGTGGTGCTCGTTTGTTCCAGTTAAACAGCCTGTTACACGCACTTCCCTGCCACAAAAGGCACACCCGATTGCCAAAGCCACATTGGCAATGTATGGCGCCTTCTCCATTTGTTTGTTTGCTTGAAAAAAAAAGAGCATTACCTCCCTGGTTTTGCCTCTTGCTGCAAAATTAAACCAACTGGGGGGGGGCTTCTTTTTTTTCCAAAAGGGGAAGAAAAGTCCTGGGGCGGGGGCATCCTGACAAGGCAACCTCCGTCAACTCACTCGAGCCCTGCAAAGGGGTCTCCCACTCACTCAGACCTGCAAAAAGGTCGCATTGCGGAGGCGGGGCAGCTCAGCAAATGCGCCTCATTTCCCAGGAACGTTAAGCAATCCCCTATTCCTAGCCTAAATATTCTCCCCCAGCCTAGTTTTGCCTTTAACTCTTTAGCAAAGCGGGCGGCTTTAAATTCTGGACGCCCCTTAATCGCACGCGCTATTTTTTTCTCTCTCTCTCTCCCCCCCCCAACTTCAAGAGCCCCGCCCTGCGGCTGCCTAAACTCCTCCGAGCGTCTCCCCCAGCCCCGATTTTCTCCCGAAGCTCCTTCTTACGGCACTTCCAAGGCTTGGGGCGGACGGAGAGTCTGCACCGACGGAGCCTCCTCGCGTGGCGAGGCGATCTAGCAAAAGATGCTCCTCGTGGGACCGAGAAGGCGAGAGCTCCTGGGTTGGGTTGGTCGAGACGGGAGGGCAGCTGGGTGTGGCACTAAACGCCGGAGAAGAAGGGAGGCAGCCGCCGGGCAGGAGGAGGAGGGGGAAAAGGGTGGGCCGTGGGCGGACGGAAAGGAGAGCTGAGGGGGTCGGCAGGAACTCTGTTTGTGGCCGTTGCTGCTGGCGACAAGGAGCAATAACCGTGACGCCAGCGGACCCACCCGAAAAGCTGCTTGGCTGGAGCCAAGCGGTTCCCACGTGTTTTTCTCTCGGCTCTCCAGGTTTCCCGCCAGTTCGCCAGATGAACTTGGAAGAAGACGCCCGTCGGTCGCCCCGATGATCTCTTTGTGTCTTTCGGAAATGGAAAGCTACAGTCTGTCAATGTGGATGGCTCTGGGAGAGCACGCTGTTCACTTGGCTTCATAGTTTTGAAAGGAGGGATGTGTGACTCTGTGTGTGTGTAACCCATCGCCGCATCTTGTTGCAGTGCGTTCCGTGGGCGGGTTGGGAGTATAGTTAATCCTCGATTTAACGATAGTTTGTTTAATGACTGTTCGAAGTTACAAATGCAGTGAAAAAAGCAATTTATGACCGTTTTTCACATTTGCGACGTAGCAGCATTTCAGATCAAAATTTGGACGCTTGTCATATTTATGACTGTAAGGTCCCAAAATGTACTTGAGTCACCAGAATTCCAAAGAGAGAGACTCAAGACAGGCCAAAAACAAAATACTGAGTGGAACTATATCCAGAACATACAGATACAATGCATGCGAGGAAATAGCCACACCTTGGGGAAGGTATGGCGTCCTTTTATACCCTCAGAGACGTCAGTTTAGTACCCAATTTTGGCCTCCTAATTTAGGTTTGTGTATTCCTTGTTACCCTGCAAGGGGGAATAGAAACTTCCCAATTAGTCATCTTGAGCATTTGTTTGTTTACTCAATTGGCCACTTTGGCCCCTGGCTCTGGAAGACAAGATCTTATCCAGATCAAACATAAATTAGGGCTGAGGTGTAAATTATCCCTTGGAGATACGTACCATGCTCTTAGATGGCATAAGAAAAAACAGGGAGAAGATTGATATCGGTTCAGGTCAAATGGCAGGGACATGTTTGACAAATACCAGATACATTACAGAGGCCTAATAACAGAATATGTTTGTTACAGGAGATACAAATATAAAGGCATAATATATGTGATACAAATACAAAGGCATATATGTATTACAGGAACCTAATGGTTACAGAATCTAGTATACCAGTATATCATATCCTAGTATTATTTATTATATCCTTATTATTGTTTCCCTTCATGACGATTACAGTCTCCTTGGGTCATGCGATCCCCCTTTGCAGCCTTCTGACAAGCAAAGTCAATGGGGTAGCCAGATTCACTTAACAATCGTGTTACAAATTTAACAACTGCAGTGATTCACCTAACAAATGTGGCAAGAAAAGTCATAAAATGGGACAAAACTTAACAAATGTCTCGCTTAACAACAAAAATGTCGGGCTCAATTGTGGTCGTAAGCTGAGGACTACCTGCAACCTAAGAACATTGAGCGTCCCGCATTCTGTTCTCACAGTGGCTAACCAACTTTAGAAGCTCTCTGGACCCTCGGCAGATGGACTTCAGAGACAGTCAGGCAGCCCTCAAGGGCAGAGAGTCTGCTTGGTCTAGTCCAGGGATGGCGAACCTTTTAGACATTGAGTGCCCAAACTGTGCATGCACGCATGCCCAAATGGAAAGGTGCATGTGCGTGCATCGACATGGGCCAGTGGGAGGTGGGGCATCCCAACACCAGCAGCACAGCAAGACCTAAGTTTTTTTTTTCGTGAGCTTCTGTTTCATTGTTTGCAGGGAAACAAGCTCATGAAAGAATGCCACGGAGACCTGACCTGGGGCGATGGCGTGCCCTCTCTGGCACGCATGCCATAGGTTCTCCATCATGGGTCTAGTCCTTAAGGTGCAGGCTAGAAACCAGGAGACCGAGTTCTAATCCTACCTTAGCCATGAAAACCACTTTGGGCCAGTCAACTCACTCTCAGCCCAGCTTTCCTCACAGGGTTGTTGTATGGAAAATAGGAGGAGGAAAGAGTAAAAGCTACATTTGCCAACTCGAGTTGCTTATAAAAAAATAAGGTGGGATACAGGTAAATGTATTTATTTGTTTATTAAACTTGTTTTATGACCAAATCCAGTGGCGCAGCAGACTAATAGCCTGTTATTAACATTCAGCTGCCTGCAATTATTGCAAGTTCGAATCTCCCGAGGCTCAAGGTTGACTCAGCCTTCCATTCTTTCTAAGGTAGGTAAATTGAGGACCCAGTTTGTGGGGGCAATAAGATGACTTTGTATAAATATACAAAAGTATGGAGGCTATTGCTTAACGCATTGTAAGCCGCCCTGAGTCTCCGGAGAAGGGCGGCATATAAATCAAATTAAAAAAAAAAAAAGACTGTAAACTGCCTAGAGTTATCTATCTTGCAGAGACAACTCTAGGCAGTTTACAGTCTTTTGGTCATAAAATAGCCAGGGTCCCAAGGAATTCCATGAACCATCTTGAAGCTAACCAAGCTGATAGCACCTATCTTGTAATAAATTCCAAAGTTTAATTGTGGGTTGTAAATGCAGGGATTCCCCCATCCCCAGGTGCCACATTGCTCCTGCAGAAATGCTGCAACAATATTTCGTAAAAATCATACTGTTGAAAGGCACCTTGGAGATCTTCTAGTCCAACTCTCTGTGCAGGGCAGGAATTCAGAACCTCTCAGACAAATGTTTAATGTTTAATTGAAAGCTTCCCATGATGGACCTGCCATGAGACCAAGAAGCAGGCAAGTTCTACTGCTTAGTAGCTCTCATAGTAAGGAATTTCCTCTTTATTTCAATGTCTTCGGCTTGCAGTAGAGATAAAGTGTGTAACACAATAAGGACAGAGCTATCAATTATATTATCCAGGACATTGATGAACTCTTGTAACAAAAAGGAATGTTGGGTCATCATAATCCTAGATCTGTTTGACTTCTGGGTTAGTAGAAGGATTTCTCCTAATGCAAACAAGTTGTTCATCAATCACTAAGGCACAAGCTCATTAGTGCAGTGTTTCTTAATCTTGGCAACTTTAAGATGTGTGGATTTCAAGTCCTAGCATTTCTCATGTTTGGCTGGGGAATTTTGGGAACTGAAGTCCACACGTCTTAAAGAAAAAATTGCATTAGAAATTAAAAAGAAAACTAACATCCTTCATACAAGCAATGACACAAACACGCCTGGGCCATGCTCTTTTTTGATTGCTTTTATCTCAATATTTGTCAGAATTGAGATGTTTGTAAGATGTTCTCTACAGACAGGTCTTGAAGCAGTGCTTCTTTCTTATTTTGGCATTATCCAAAGCTTCTTTTACAGCAATTCAACCATCATTCCAAAGTAAGAGTAAGCAAAATCAGCCTTTATGGCACCTTGAGACTGGCCAGCTAATGCTTAAAGATACTACCGTGTTTCCCCAAAAATAAGACCTTGCCTTATATTTTTTTGAACGCTTGGCCTTATTTTCAGGGAGGTCTTATTATTTTGGGGAGCATGGAGGAAAACAGGGCTCCTCTTTCAGTCTTACCTGATTTCCAGCTCTATCTCCCTAACCCTAACCAGAGGAAATGCCGGGGACTGGCTGCACATGCGGTTAAATACTTTTGGGGAGGGCTTATTTTCAGGGGGAAGCTTATTTTAGCGCATGCACTCAAAAGCTCAATTGGGCTTATTATCAGAGGATGTCTTATTTTCGGGGAAGCAGGGTATCAGTCGCTATTGAGAAGGTTTAAGTCCAAACCAAACAAATTACATTACGGTTTTGGGTGTTTATAGTCAGGGATATCCGCCTTTTTTGTTCGTTTGTTTTACAGTTGGAAAATCAAGGCCATCATCTTGACCTATTTTATACATATACATCAGTATGCATGTGCAGAGATATCCGAGGGGGTGGGTGGAGCCTCCCGAACCCGGGGGAACCAATAGCAACCCACCACTGATATACATCCCACAGATTCCCCTGCTCACGGTTATTATTACACCTTTAAAATATCTTATCCAGAAATTACGTCCTCTGAACGAGGGCAGATCTTTAGAAATAATAATTTTATTAAATATCAATTATACAGATAAAACTAATGCAAATGATTAAAATAAGAGTAAAAAAGAGTGCTAAGAAAAAAAGAAATTAAAAATAACTTCCTTCTTCATCCCAGCAAGTTTGAACAATTTTAGCAACTTCTCACCATCTATTGAAAAACAACAATCTGATTAGCTCCTATTGCATTTATCTATAAACTTTAAAGCCTTGACAGATCTTGAGTACTTAAGACTTCAGAGGATAATTAGAACTGCAGAAAAAACAATTTCTACCAACCTGCCTTCCATTGAGGACCTGTAAACTGCACAAGTCAAAAAGAGGGCTGTGAAAATATTTTACAGATCTCTCGCATCCTGGACATAAACTGTTTCAATTCCTACCCTTAAAACGACACTATAAAGCACTGCACACCAGAACAACTAGACACAAGAACAGTTTTTTCCCGAACACCATCACTCTGCTAAACAACTAATTCCCACAACAAAGTCAAACTATTTACTAAGTCTGCACTACTATTAATCTTCTCATGGTTCCTATCACCCATCTCCTTCCACTTATGACTGTATGACTGTAACCTTGTTGCTTGTATCCTTACGATTTATATTGATAATGTTTCCTGATTGCTTATTTGTTCCCTATGATTATCATTAAGTGTT